AACACTGAAGTGGCAGGGTAGGCAGGGTTCAAAAGCATGGTCGTTGCACTTCTGCTGTGGGCGCTGCAATACTTACATTACATGACCGGAACTGCTGCAATGACGAGTGGGAGTTTTCAGCTGGACGGGTCCCAATTCCCGTCGCCCCCATCTATACTGACTGCACAGAGGATGTCATATCAGGGGGTAGACCCGAGGGTGGAATGTGCTGCCACCGGCCATTCGAGAGCTCCGGACGGAGCAAAGCGAGCTGGGAGAGACAAGGCGACTCAGGTTTTCCAATTCAATCGTGCAAGGAAGAGGGCTTATCGTCGGGCATGTCAGCGTGCTCTACGGGATGGTTCCACGTGGTACAGGGGAAGGCAGGTGACAGTGAGGGAACTCAACGCCTCCTATGTACAGGGTGCTCTGCAACGTGGGGCGGTAGCCCGTGCCAATCCGCTACCTGACAGGAGGCCTAAGGATGCTGACTCACGGCTTAAAGTATTCACGCTGAACTGTGGTGGAATGACGGCTATGCAGTATGACCTTACATGTGATTGGCTCACACGTTCATGTCCCTATGAAGTGGTTGTTTTCACTGAAATTCAGTGGGGACTTGGGCGGCAAGACGCCACGTGGGAAATCGCTGGATGGGCTTTTGTGGTGACGGCAGATCCGGACAACAGATACAGTGGGGTTGCCATTGCCATATCATCCCGAGTGGCGACCGCGTCGCAGATCACGTTCTGCTCGTGGGTGCCAGGCCGCATTCTTCATGTTAAGTGCGAGGGCCAGCAAGTCACGTTAGATATAATTGGCCTCTATCAATGGGTGAAGAGGGATGATCACAAGCTCGTTAATGAGGCGCGCAGGTCTTCTTTCTGGACGCAACTAGGCAGACTGCTCAGCAAGCTTCCCCTGCGTAATCTTCTGGTTTTGCTGGGGGATTGGAACACGCCGGTGGAGCACCTGCCTGGGCTAGTTGGACGTGGCGTGCTTCGGTCAGCCACCAGAGGCGCAGATGAGGACTTGCAACAACTCCTGCAGGTTCACCGGCTAGTGATGCTGAACACATGGGGTAGGGCACAGGCCTCTACTGCATTTACTTTTCAGAATGGTACTGTTCGGTCGCAGATTGATTTCATTGCTGTTCGGAAGGAAGCTGCAGACACAATTGCGCGCAGAGCCGCGCCCAGTCCACTGGATTTGATGCCTGGGAAGATGGGACCGAGGCACAGGCCAGTCTGTGCGTCTGTTCCATGGGTTGCGGGCTGGCGTTTAAAGCAACTACGTTCCGCGCGTCAGGGAAATGTCAAGCCTAGGTTCTCTAAGCCGGCACTGCAGGACTGCATCCGACAACAGGGGCCTGCACTGATTGAGCTGCGGCAACAGGTTGCAAGTATTTTCCGGGACGCTCCAGCCGAAGAGGGCTTGCCGGGGCTCAATCGTAAACTCATGCATCTATGTAGCAGGCTGTTTCCGGTTGTCAGAAGGAGTAGAACCAGGCCAGGGAATCAGCCGAGGGTTATGACTAGCATCAGGGTCATGTGGGGTGCCTATCGCGAGCTCAAGCGGTGTCGACGACACACTCCTGCCGGCTCCCTCTTCGGGGTCTGGAAGGCCTATGCCAGTTTCTCTCGTCAATGGCGTGCTCTGCGCGCGGCTAGTCGCACAGAGAGGCGGCAATGGTTGCAAGAGCAGATTGCCCTGGCCCAGGAGGCAGCACGCAAGCATGACATGGGTGAAGTTTATAGAATCGTTAGACTCTTGGCCCCTAAGCAGCGTAAGGATCAGGTTCGAATTAGGACCCCGGAAGGTCACCTCCTTAGCCTTAAGCAGCAATATGATTCTATCTATGACTACTTTGCAACGGCCTTCGGGCGCCGAACACCGTTCCAGCATGCGCCAGGGAGGGACGTGCCAGAGTTTGGAGCTGCTGAATTGCTTGAGAGCCTCAAGACCCTTCGACCACGCAAAGCTGTCCCGCCTGGATGTCCGCCGGCAGAAATTTGGCAGCTCCAACCAGATGCCTCAGCTGATTTTCTCCAGCGCGTCTTACATGCTGCGTGTACCAGTGGTAGGCGGCTGCCGTGTAGCCTCACTGACTGTGCCTTGATATTAATGCCGAAGCCCGGTAAACCCACTAGGCTCCCTAAGGATTTGCGCCCGCTAGGCCTTCAAGATCCGGCTGCTAAGCTGCTTGCAAGTGCTGTAAAGAGTAGAGTACAGGCCACTGTCCTGCCGTGGTTGATGCAGCATCCGCAATTTGCCTATTGCAAGGGCAAGTCTCTGGATGAGGCCATCACCAGAGCAGCTGATCACTGCAAGGCAGTACGCGACGAGCTTAAGTCGGCTCAGGTTAGTGTCCAGGCTCGTAGGCAGGGTAAGAAACCGCAGGCCTGTCTAGGGGGTGCCACCCTGTCGATTGACCTTAGCCGTGCTTTCGATCAGCTGCCGAGGTGGGCGCTTGTTGCCAGCCTGTTGCATGCCAAGGTGGAGGCTTCACTTATTGATATCATAGTGGCCATCCATGAGGGGTGCACTTATCATGTTACGCATGCGCAGCACACCGGTAGCTTTCCGCTTCAGGTTGGGGTGAGGCAGGGTTGCACTTTGGCACCCCTCCTTTTCTGTATCTACTCCTGTTGGATCAGTGACCTGATGGATGCAAGGCTGGGCTTTCAATGGAGCTCCACACATCATACTGCCTTCGCTGACGATAATTTGGTTCAATGGCGGATCAGGTCGGCGCAAGATTTGGGCACCATGTGTGTACATGTTCGTACCCTTTTTGGGCTACTAGGAGAGGTTGGCATGGATGTTAATGTGCTCAAATCAGGTCTTTTGATCCGGGTGCAAGGAAATGTGGCGAAAGGGTGGCTTCGACGTCATGTCCGGGTTGCCAAGCGAGGTAATTGCATTTCTGTTGGCACACCACAGCAGCCCATTGAATTACCATTGGTCAAGGTGATAACCTATCTGGGCATTCAACTGTCTTATGGCAACCTGGAGCTGCAGACATGCAACTTTCGTCTGCGAGCTGCCAAGCTTGTGCGCCAGCGTCTTTTGCGCGTTTTGCACTCCCGTGGCCTTCGTGACAGAGTTCGTCTTCAGCTTCACGGTGCTTGTGTCAGGAGTTCCTTGCTATTTGGGATTCATGCTGTTGGGGTTAACCTTGCCGTCATGAAAAAGCTGGAGGCGGCTGATGCACGGTTTGTCAGAGCAATTGCTCGGGATCCTGTGCACCTGACCAGGACCTCGAATCAAGCTCTTTTTCGTAGGCTACGATACCGCATGCTAGCAGAGGTCCTGACCAGATTGCTGAAGAGTCGTATCAAGCGATCCAAGGACGCTGCTGCTGTTGCCCACTTTAGGTCTCAGCTGGATGCGGTGCTAGCCATGCATTCCGACTCCCGTGCATGTGCGTCACATGGCATGTGCAGCGTTGTGGCCGTCCATCAGGTTGCATCATGTGATGTTTGCGGTATCTACTTCGCTAACATGCAGCATATGCTCTCCCATAGGGCTAGACAGCATCCTGATTTTCGAGTTTCCAAGAAGAGCACTATGGATAGCTGTAGCTATGCTGCGCAAACTGTGGACGGCATGCCCGTCTGTGCGCATTGTGGCCAGTCCTTCACCAGGGTGGAGGCTTTGAAAAAGCACCTGCATCAAGCCTGTCCTATCCTGCATCAAACTGCGCTTCAATATGGTCACACACAGGGTGATAAGCGTATGGCCGCTGCTGCCACTGCACAGACCCTGACGTCGGAGCATTGCACTAGGTTAGGTGCTGAGGTAGAGGTCGCCTCTCCACCTGGGGGGTTGCTTGGGCTCTCGGGCCGGACCCCTGATGACTTTGTACAGCAGTGCAATGCCCCTCTGATCGGGGTACCCGCATTTGTGGCTGCACTTCGAGTAGGCTGGAAAAGTGTGCTACGAGTGGACAGCTTTCGGCAGAGCCTGACTACGTACTGCGTTTTGTGCGGTCAGTGGGTTGACTCCAGCGGAGTGAAACAGCACCATCGGCTCATGCATGCCAGCGCTTGGGAGCTCAAGTCGGCAGCGACGGACCGTGTCAACGGGCTTGGACTGCTAGTTGTGTCGCCGTGCCACTACTGTGGTAGGGACGTCAAGGACCCTAGAACGCATATCCGTCGTTGCAACACAGTCTATCAAGCATCTTTAGCGGAACTTGTTTGTCGACAGGAGACACATGGCGACCACGGCGGAGGAAAACCAGCCTACGACAGCTGCACAGGAGATGCTTTCAGTCCTCGGCCTGGCCAAACATGCCATGACCGGGAATCCCGAAGACCCGTGGGCCCGACGGGAACCCACTGCGTCGCTGGAAGAAGATGCATCGAGGGCCTCGAAGTGGCCCAAGCAGCAGTCAAAGGGCCACACGGGCAAGGGGCAGGCATGGGATCAGTGGCGTCCTCACGGCCAGGACTGGTTCCAGAAGGACGAGTCGACTGCTACGGTGGACCAGGCGACGCAGCAGGTGATTACGGCCCTGGTGAAGATGGCCATTCGGCACGAGGAGGAGCTTGCCAAGATCCGCATCGATACCACGATGATCTTTTATTTGGACACAGGGTCGGCGGGCATCCTTCCGCTGATACGCCAGATGGCCGAGGCATGGTCGACCGAGTTCGAGGCAGGGAAGGTGACATCGCCGCTGAAGGTGGTCCTTCTCTTGGGCATTTTCCAGGAGGTGAGCACCAGGATCACATCCATTCTCCAGGACGAGGAGAAGCACCAGAAGGCGCTGGAGTGGGCCTGGCTCCAAGCCGGGGCCACGGCGTTGGATCCCCTATGGACCTACTTTCAGTGGAACACCACAGCCAGAAAACAGGAGCCCAGTCCACTCCCTCCCATCAAGAACAGCGAGGTCCGGAAGCACCTGGACTACCTGACCCACCATCTGTCCGATGCCAACATCCTCACCCGGTTCAAGGCCACGAGAAGAATGTCAAGCACGGATCGCTACGCCAGTGCAGTCTTGCCGTTTTTCTGCGCCCTAAGCCTGAGAGGCGAGATTGCCACCGCCTGCCATACGGCTATCAGGGCACTGGTCAACTGCTCGGCGCTGAAGACGGTGGGCTTGCGGATCAAGCCTGCTCGGGGGGAAAGACAACCCCTAGCAGCGGAGCTGGAGAAGGCCTACCTCGAGGTGCCCTACACGCAGTGGCAGGCGCGCGAGCAGAGCTGGAAGCGGACGGATCGCCGAGCGCAGCGAGAGGGCGGCAAAGCGAGCGAGGGGGCCGAGCAAGGCCAGCAGGAGATGGATGCGTGGCTACCTCAGTTCAGGTTTGTACTTTTCCTCTGCCAGAACCCTCGCCTGTGCGCTTGCACAATCCGCATCAGGTGTGCTATCTCAACTCAGTCGCTCAGGCTTTGAACTGGCTCGCCAGAGTGGCCACGGATGCTGCCTCCTGCACGGGCAGGGCCCATGCTGCTCTTGCCTTAGTTCAGGGAGATACCAGCAGGTATCTGCCTCAATGCTATGCCTGGCATCCGATCCTTCGGGGTTGGGCTCACTTGAGTAGGCAGCAGGATGCCTGTTCCTTCTGTGCGCACTTTCTGACTTACGCGAATCCTGTGGCGATGCAGGGGGAATGGGCTGCGCGCCTGACGAACCCACATGTGGTTACTGATTCAGGTCCCTTGTTGGCTCCGCTGCCGATTGAAGTACAAGGCTCGACGCTGCAATCCGTCATTGATAGTTGGTCCCTGCAACACTCCATTCATGCTCTGACATGGCACAGTGGGATTGTCCTGCTTCAGCTGAAGCGTTATTACTTTCATGCAGGCTGTGCTGTCAAAAATCGTGAGCCTGTCCTGATTGAGCCGGGCCGACTTGTGACCCTACCTGTTTTCCGCTATGATAGCGGGACGGAAGTAGAGCAGCAGCAGTTTCGGGTGATCTGTGTCATTTTCCATCTAGGTGATAGTGTTTCGAGTGGTCACTACCAGACTGCATTGAGCTACTGTGCACAATCAGTGTCGCTGGACGCTGCTGCTGACACGTCTTGTGCTCCATGGGAGTACCGAATTTGCGATGATAGACGGAGACCCAGAAGGGCCAAGGCGGCTGACAACCAGTGCATCAATCACAATGCATACCTCATAGGACTAATGCATTGCCCGCGGCGCTGCGGGTCCTGACAGCTGCCTACGAGTCTTTGCGGGCTCCACACACCAGCTGACAGTCTGCTTGAAGCCGGTACGAATGGGGCGCACCGCAAAACACCTGATTGAATTTATTGCATGTTGTTAATGCTGCTCGCGTGGAATGGTTTGCGAAGGTCACTGGCCTGCTGCTCGCAGCTGTACTGCTCCTCACCATAGGGAGGTGTTGCTTCCCTGTCGCCGCTGAAGCCTCTCTGCCGGGGCCTTGTCGTATGGGCGCATCTTCTTGGCTGTTCGCTTCTGACTGCAGCAGTGGTCCGCTTGCATTCCACACTGCCTGCAGGGAGTGGCCCAAGCATAGGTATGGTGATTGCCCTGCAGCTTCCTAAGGGAGTGTATGTGGAGATGCTAGAGGAATGGCTTCTGCTCCAGGCCTACTCCGGTCTATGGCGTGAGATGGGGCAGGACAAACTACCGCCCGCGCTCTCCATGGCAGTGCGAAATGACATTATACATGCTGCCGTAACTGCGCTGGAGCCGGAGCTATGCGCTGTCTTCCTGGACTATGCAGAAAGGCTGCAAAAGGAACTACCGCGGTATGCTGCCACCTCGTTTCCGCTGCCGTGCGCACTACCCTCACAACCGTCTTCCGCGGAGTGCATCGCTCATGCCTTGTTGGGGCAGGGCCATGGCTCTCTCTGGACCAGCGCCAGACAGGTCGCAGCCGAGCTCTCATACCACACGGTGCACAGGGCCATTGGTACCCACCTCTCTTTCAGTGTCGGAGCCTATGGACACCGTGGCTTCGTGGGGATGCTGAAACAGACCGGGACACATCAGTCTGTTTGTCGACTGCTGAATGCTCTGGTCACCCAGATTTATCCTGCTCATGTCTGGACCACTGTCACAGTGAATGTCGATCTGCAGGCGCCGACACACATTGATGTGGCAAATGCTTCGTATGCCAGCCTGCTACTGGGGCTGTCGCACTTTGATGATGGTACCCTCTGGGCCGAGAACGAGTCAGGTATGGTTTACCATGAGCATGGTGGTCGGATGGTCCCAGGCTGTTTGCATCAAGTGAGTGGGGCGGCACTGCTGCTGAATGCACATAACACCATACATGCGGTACAGCCTAGTGCCAATGGCAATCGATTCACGCTGGTTGCGCACACCATTGGACAACATCTTCATATGTCTGAGCAGGATAGGCAAACGTTGTGGGATCTAGGCTTTGGCATTCCTGGAGCGCCTGCTCCTACTTTTCCCTCTCCTTACTTGAGTGGCTGAAATAGCTAGCTGTTTGGAGAGGCCTCCTGAAGGAGTTGGCCACCCATTGGGGAGGGTTCTTCGCTTTGCTTGGTTCCTTTAGGCCCGGTTCCATGCTGCGTGGTCCCTGGGTGTGCCGGTGGTTGTTGGGGTTGCCTGCCGCTGTTCCTACTGGAATGAGATCTATGTGCTGATCATGCAATAAATACGGGCTATGAAGCGTGTCCTGCTCCGCCTTACTGCTTTGCAGGTTCCCGCCTGCATCTGCCTTTCCAGTAGGTCGCAGCAGCTGTGCCTTTGATGTGAAAGCATCATTCAGAGGGGCCAATGCTGAGTACCCAGAGGACGTGGCCTCACAGCGTACTGGCGAGCGTTATAAGCACCAAATGCACTGCGCTCTGCCTGCTTCTTGCACATGTTCTTACCACTTATGTGCTTCTGCCTCTGTGTGCCTAGGTCCCTTTGAGGCGAGGATCGTGAAGAGCCGGGTGGGTCCCTGGCTTTTCTGCTGACTGCTTAGGTACGCGTACCGGGTCAGCCTTTTTCAGTGGTGCTTTTATTTACATTGGAATTTGGCACAGTCGCGAAGGTAAGCGCTTACGCTTGCAGGGATCCTACATGAAATGCTGTGCTAATCCTGGATGTGGCAGATGGCACCATGGTAGGCGGCCTGCATGTTGCTCGGGCTGTGATGATTTTTCCAGAGGCAGGACGACAACGAGGCTGCACTCAAGAAGGTGTCAACGCATGCAGCGCAACTTCTGGCGAGGTCGGCCGTTGACAAGTCAATCGGATGCGGACTATTGCACGACCGATGGCTGCGATCGCATGTCCCGACCGGGGTACAGCGCATGCTGCTCTCACTGTGGGCGTGCGCGTAACAACCAGCACAGCAGGAGATGCAATCGTCAGCAAGCTCAACTACACCTTCACCCGTGGATTGAGCAAATGCCTACGGAGAGTACTGGTGGGACTGCTGTCGTGAATGCTGGACAGTTGCATGCTGGCTCTATGGGCCCCTCTTGGGACAATATGCTGTCCTCTGCTACGGGTTCTGGTTCTGCTCAGGTGATAGTTATCTCTGATTCTGAGCAATCGGCGGAGTCCAGTGATGCACCTGTGGCACCAGCTGAGATGGCTGATGCTGCTGAGCCCATGGGGGCGACGATGGAGAATGCCTTTACTTGCCAGGCTGCATCAGAAGGAGTCAGTGCGGATGATTTTCGGATTCCGGATTCCACGGAGCATTTGATTTGCCTCTCAGAGATGGATTGAGGGGTTTTATGATAGTCGCCGACTAGAGGAGCGCAATAGCCGCTGCGACCGCAGAGTCGCCGGGCGTGAAACGCCTGTCTCGTCGCTATGCTTCTGACCTGGACGGAGCAGCGTGTGCAAGTGC